AATATTTGAGGAATATATGATTCTTTTTCTTTGATATTTTATTTGGGTTGCCCAGTAATCATAATTATACTATGGTATGGTTTATAGTTTATTTTTTTCTGTGGACCACAAAAGAAGAAGTCAATGGGGTCCAATGTTGTTTGAAGCACCAGTGACTGTTATAAATATCTTCAGTAACACTTTATTTTAAGGTGTGCTTGTTACAGTGTTATTATACATTTAAGTACTGAGTAATATTAATTAACTACATGTACTTAATATATGGTTAGGGTTAGGGTTCGGCTTAGGGTTACTTGCATGTAATTATGCATAATTTATTGTTATTATAATAGTAAGTAAACGTAACATGTGTAACAAGGACACCTTAAAATAAATGTAATCTTATCTTCTTTTTTCTTTTAAGCTTGAGTAAATGATGACAGAATTTTCATTTGGATGAATTTATTTTACTTTGGTCTTGTGCTTGTGTTACCCAGTTATCATGTATAATTGCAATATGGTATAATTTAATTATAAACTTAAATGATTTATGTAAATATTTAAGTATGTAAATATTCAAATATAATGGAATTAAGTCACTTGCTCGTTCTCTCTCGTTAATAGGTAACATCTTTGTGGTGAGTCTTTCTGTGGCTGACCTGGTGGTGGCGCTGTACCCCTATCCCTTGGCTCTGGTCGCTATCTTCCATAACGGCTGGACAATGGGCTCCCTGCACTGCCAGCTGAGCGGGTTTGTTATGGGACTGAGTGTGATCGGCTCGGTCTTCAACATCACGGCTATCGCCATCAACCGCTACTGCTACATCTGCCACAGTCTCTGCTACGACCGGCTGTATTCTCGTCGGAACACCTGTCTGTACCTGCTGCTCACCTGGATGCTAACCGCTCTGGCCACCGTGCCCAACTTCCGGGTAGGTTCCCTAAAATACGACCCACGCGTCTTCTCCTGCACGTTCACCCAGACAGCAAGCTCTTCTTATACCGTCTGCGTTGTTCTGATCCACTTTCTGGTTCCTCTGGGCGTGGTTTCTTTCTGCTACCTGCGCATATGGACGTTGGTGATTAGGGTCAAAGGTCGTGTGCGGCCCAATCCGAAGGTCAGAGCGGCCGACCTGAGGAACTTCTTGACTATGTTTGTGGTGTTCGTGCTGTTCGCCGTGTGCTGGGCGCCCCTGAACTTCATCGGGCTCGCTGTGGCAATAGATCCCGCAAGAGTGGTGCCGAATGTCCCGGAGTGGCTGTTTGTTACCAGCTACTTCATGGCGTATTTCAACAGCTGTCTGAATGCTGTCGTCTACGGGTTGCTCAACCAGAACTTCAGGCAAGAATACAAACAGATTCTCCGCGCTCTCTGCACTCCACGAGCACTGTTCACTGAAAGCTCCAGGTACAACACTGAAGCCATAAAGAGTAAACAGTCGTCGGCGGGAACCAATAACAATGTGAAAGAGGCCAATATGTATAAGGGCGGTGTAACACACACTCTTTTCTAGTACATCACTCCTAGGGTTGCAAAGGGGTGGAAAATTTCCGGAAACTTTCCAAAAATCCCTGGCATATTCCAAAAAATCCCGGGAAGTTTCCAAACTTTCTGGAATATTTCCGAAATTTACTGGAAAATGTCCACATTTTTGCAAACCTAATCACTCCCCATTTAACTAACAACCACAAAATTAGGGTACAAAGGGGTTAAAGGCACAGCGGGATAAAATGCACGTTTGTTTTTATTTTTCCGCAGCACTTTCCTAAACATCTGTGGTTCACTATGCACCAGGAAATTTGACTGAGCCTTGATTCAGCAAATAAAATGTCAATTCTGCACTACAGAGTTATACGACAAATGAGAATCAATAAAATTTTCAAATATATTTTGAGACAAAGATCTTGTTCAAAGATCTTAGCAATATGTAAAAGTGTGGTATTTAGGGTAAAAAGTGCCCCTACTGTTGAAGCTAAAGGCACAATAATTGGAATGAAAATATATAGCAGGTTGACTTTTTAATTTGTTGACATGAGATTGTGATTCAAATGGTCAGTATCATGTATTACGTTGGGTTTCCACCTTAGAGATAATCACCATATGTATAATGAAACCATCATATTAAAAAATACATTAATCATATTTTAATCAAAATTTGAATCAAAAATATATTAATCATTTATTGTTACTATAAAGCCTCAGTAAATTATGAGATCTTTTTCAAGCTATGTAGGAAGCTTTCAGAATTTTTTTTTTTCATATTTTTTCTGTATTTTTAAAAAGAACTCATTTTAATGACAGCGTAAAATACATTTTAATTATTTTGTTAATCAAAATAAATAGAATATGGTGCAAAACTTCATTTTGAACAAGTATTAACTTATTACGCAAATGTATTACTATCCACTTGTTAAAAGGATAGTTAACCCATAAATGAAAATTCTGTCATTTATTACTCACCTTCATGTTGTTCCAAACCCGTACGACCTTCGTTCATCTTCAGAACACAAATTAAAATATTTTTGATGAAATCCGAGATCTTTCTGTCCCGGCATAGACAGCAATGCAACTGACACATTTTATGGCGCAGAAAGGTAGACATCGTTAAAATAGTCCATGTGACATCAGTGGTTCAGCCATAATATCATAAAGCTACGAGAATACTTTTTGTGCGCAAGGAAAACTAAAAATAATGACTTTATTCAACAATTTCTTCTCTTTCATTTCAGACTTCGACGCATGTTCATGACAGTACCGTGAAGAGAACAAATTGCTGAATAAAGTCATTGTTTTTGTTTTCTTTGTGCACAAAAATATTCTTGTAGCTTCATAAAATTACGGTTGAACTACTGATGTCACATGGACTATTTTAACAACGTCCTTACTACCTTTCTGGGCCTCGAATGTGTCCATTGCATTGCTGTCTATGCAGAGTCAGAAAGCTTTCGGATTTCATCAAAAATATCTTAATTTGTGTTCTGAAGATGAATGAAGGTCTTACAGGTTTGGAACGACAGAATTTTCATTTTTGGGTGAACTATCCCTTTAAGTCGTGACATATGGAATACTGTTTACGGGTCCAAGCCTCTACTCAATTGAGCGGAGAACACTGTCTTGACCATACACTACAGTCTCCAGGCTCACAGGCTTGTTGGGATTACTACAGCACACTGTGAGTGTATATTAGCACCATTTGTTGTTTGCTTTGGGATCTTGTCAGACCTATGAACCGGATGGCATAAATATTTGTATAAATACTTGAGACCTTTTACCACATGCTGGTGAGCTTTTTACTCTGAGCCTTTAGTGTGGGTTAAAGGCCCCCCTCACCACTTCATACATTTTCATGACTTTGAAATAAAAGTAAAGTGAAGTTAAATCACATTTAGTTATATAGAGCTTTATATTATACAGATTATAAGAGCAGCTTCACATTAATAAACAGTAAAATAACAGTGTTAATGTTATAAAGATAATTATCAAACAAATTCAATTTCAGGTGTAAAGCAGCTCTACAGATGAGTCATTGTTGAGCTCAGTTTAGTTCAATAAAACTGTTGATGTTCATCAATTATGAAACAAGCTGCCGTGTAAGCAGCTTTACAGAAGGCAACAGTGTCATTATTCAGCTCAGTTCAGTTCAAGAACAGTGTCAGTGCATTAAATCTATAAAATGACTGGATATTAATTGTCTTTCACACTCCAACTGTGCAAGCCAAAGGTGACAGTGACAAGCAACCAAAACTCCATCAGGTGACAGCAGTGGAGAAAAAAAAAACATCTTGGGAGAAACCAGGCTCAGATGGGGGGCCAAGTCTTCTCTGTACAAATGAGCAAACATAGGCCGATTTATGATTCCAGGCTGCATCACAAATCAGATTTTGTGGGCTGATATTCAAAATTTTGCATTTAGCTCCTACTTGGAGATCAGGATACACCATGGTGGAATTCGGTGAGAAAAAGGAAGAACAGCAGTCTGTTCAGCAACTGGCTTATCACTGGCCTTTTTAACACTCATCTTGCTACTTGCTAAAGTCTGTGTTGAGGTCCTAACTACTCATGTTCATAGCTGGCCAACAAACCACTACTATGCTTTCTTTTCCCACAAAATGTGTTGCTCCATCAAAAAAAAAGCGCATTTTCACTAATGTGTGCCTTTAGCTCTGTGGTATCCTATCTACTCTACTGCAGTCCGGGGGCCTGTAAGACTGATATTTCTTGTTGAATGAACATTCCTCAACAAATGACATGGTTGTCAGCCTTGTTATGTATTTTGTTTGAGCAGACTTGAGCTAACAAACAGAGAAAATAAGACTGCAGACGGTTGAGTATATGCTATCGAGTTCTTATAGAGATCGGCTGATACCATGGCAACCGTCACTGAAAAAGACATTTTGATGCTCTGTGTGTCCTTTGTAAACTCTTTGTAGCTTATATGGATGTTTTGTATATCAGGCAGTGTGTTTCTTAGTAACGGACACAATTTTTTTGTTTTGAGGCTTCTATAATTATTGTTGTATGTTTTTATTCTTGCAACAAAAATGATTTAAGTGAAATCTTTTTTGATGTATATCTACTTCACGTTGTGTTTTTCTGTAGAATCAGAGTGGGCATTTCCAATCTGAATGGTCTGCATGCAATGGTGCTGAAAACTAAACTACATCTGTCTTTGTAGTCCTGTTTTTCTTCTGTCACTGTATCTTTCCTCCATTTGTCTAAATATCATATATCAGTCATACTTTTTCTCTACCCCGGTTACTTACCTTCATTTTTCTGCACACACTACACACTCTTGCTCCTGTCCTTGAGGAAGATTTATCACTTCTCCAAACACTAAACGCGTTGGCTGAAAGGGGCAGATGATGATGACCTGACGCTGAAGTTTCTCCTGAGCTGTAATTTTCACAGAATGGCTTGAAGTATTAACCCCGATGCTCTAGCGGTGCCATATCCAGCACAGACATAAAGAGATAATGTGTTTTCAAGCTCAGTGGAGTATAAGCATATGGTTTGAAATCCAGGTCTTAATTTTTAGCAGACCTATTTTATTTATTTATTGATATATATTCACTTAAAAGACATTACTTTTTATTAGCCAAAAAATATGATATTATATTAATATTATATATAAGTTGCATTATATTAGGAGACTGGGGCTACAAGTTGTCACAAGGGCTATATCCCAGTAACTCAGTATTGAAGCAAGAGTATATCTCCAGAAGTATTTTTGGTTTCAAGTAAAAAAAAAAAAAAAAATCTCTTAAATTAAAATAATTTTGTCTTGATATCATATGTAAGTAAAATGTTTGACAACTGGCCATGGTTTCCATCCTCAGTAACTGTAAGGTTTTGATTCAAAAGATCTCCTGAAGTGTTTTTTTATGCTGGTTTTAAGTTCAACAATCTCTTCTAGTTCAAAAATCTCTCAAATTAGAATAGTCTTATTTATTTATACAAACTTAAAGCCTAATATCAGCCTTTTTTTATTTTAATAAACAAGAAAAATGTAAATGTTACAATTTTTCAAGAAATCTTGCAGCCATTGTAGTATTGCAAAGACATTTCCGTAAATTTACTTATAGGTTATTTTATCCAACATACTTAATTCATAGAGCTCTCTTTCATAACGGACAACTGATTTGAGTCAGGAATGTTAAGGAGGGCATAAAAAATGCACAGCGCGATAGGTCCGCAAACCCAGGACTGAATACTGGTTTAGAGATGTTTCAGAAGTTTAGGTCCTGTACTGCTGGAAGCTCGTTGCAGTGCTGCGGCGCCCCCTAGAGGACATGCGCAAAAACGCTCGCACAACCGCTGTCACGTTCATCCGCGTCACGTGACACAAACCCGGAAGCGCAAATCACTCGAGATGTCGCAGCACGGAATTACGAGCTATTGAGTTCCCATATCTTTCTTCTTTTTTTGTCCATAATTAAAAATGCAGAATTACGATAAGATACCTGTGGACTCCATGCCTGCAACCGCGCCTGATTTCAGAGGGTAAGATTTTTTTATATGATTCGCCTTTTCTGCTCAGACTACACGTGACCTTACACCAAAATTACAATGACTAAGGGCAATTTTAAATTGAAATAGTCCATTAATTAGTATCATTGTTGAATTTCAAATTATTTAAAGCTCATATTTCGACTGTTTTCATTTGTGTAATCTCTCCTCGTCTCTTTCTTCCTTGCATTCATTCAGGAATGACGGTTCACTTGTCTCTGTACTCAAGACGCTATTGTTTTTCACTCTTCTGATGATAACTTTACCAATCGGGCTGTATTTTTCATCAAAGTCTTTTCTCTTTGAAGGTATTTTGCTTCCAAAGGCTGATAAACTAGTCTTTTATTTATGCATTAAAATAATAAGCACAATAATAATATTTAATATCCATGTGTAACACTACAGGTCAGTATATTAAGTCCTTAGGTGCTGATTTGCTTTGGTAATTCATGATTTCTGCTTAATTCTCATCGTTTCTTCACAGCCTCTCTGGGATACTCCAGCAAT